CAGTTATTAAAAATGAAATTCTCCCATCTTCAGTAGTGCAAATGATGCTTTAAAATATGGTGAGTGGACTAAGGCAGACACAGAAGGACATTTCCACCAGGAAATGAAAAGGTTAACTTCTCAGCGGTAGAGAACACAATCGTAGATACTGGAGCTTGGGAAGGGTGTGGAGAGAGCAGCTAACAGTACAGGAGGGCAGTGGGGTGGACAAGTGGTACCTAACGGTCTACAGCACGGTAGAGGCACTGGGTTGACAAAAAACTAATTGAATATTTCAAATAGTAACTAAAGAGGGTGTTGGGAATTTCCACACAATGAAGTGATAAATGCTTGAGGGAAGTGACGAACCAATTGTACTAAAGATGGTTACACGTGTACTTAAATGTTATATTGTAATCTAAATGCCACACAGCACCCAAAGCATCACATTGCTCCTCAAATACATACAATTCCTACATCTACTGGAATACTGTAAGGTAGGGATGGGAAGACGGATGAGTGGGTAAACTGCTTGCTGTGCAAGCGTGAGGACCTAAGTTTGGATCTGTGCAGAACCTAGGTGTGGACATGTGCACCTACGACCCCAGTATGCTGGGGAAGCTCTAACTACAGATGGTTATGAGCCACCAGGCCTGGGTACTGGGAACAGAGCTCCAGTCCTCTCCAGCAGCAACAAGCACTCTTTACTGCTGGGTCACCATTTCAGTGACCATCCCCACCCCTACCCCTGAGTGCTTCTGACATTTCAGTGTCCCTGAGGTCCTGTGATGCTGCAGATGCTAGAGGCATGGGGCTGGCTATTCTGTCCCATTTAGAAGCAATGTTGGAGGCACACGGCTGGTCTGCCCCATTCAGAAGCATGTTCCTTGCCAGGGAGGTATGAGTAAGGCAAGCACATTAGCTGGAGTTTTCTAGAAACCTCTGCACTGCAGATCAGAAGGACCACTGACTAGTCCACCAACTACATCTTGCTGACAGTTGAGTTAGAATGCTGCAGATAGAAAATTATCTCGGGTTATCTCTATTCCCCTTTAGTCACTGTTCGTCACCTACCTCAGGATCTGACCTAACACCCTTTGAGGATCAGGTGAAACGTTTAGAATGAGTTAAGTGACTAGCAGACCCCTGGTGTCCACCAGACCAGAAGCTAAGACATCAAATAGAGCATGAAATCACCGGGAGATGTTTCTCTGCTGTGCCATAACCATATGGTTTCCCCCAACAATATATTTACTAAATGTCCTTATATTTAGCTGCCTTTTGTGCTATAACTATAAAATGTTGAAGTAGCCATCTCCACTGGGGAACACATTCTCCAGGCCCACCTGAGTCTGTATTCCCAGACTAAAGCTCACTCCTACTTACTCCTACTTGCCTCAGAACAAACTCTCATTCCCTTTGGTGCAAGAGATGCTGTGTTGGGTAGTTTGAGGGTGTTTGCTTTGTTTTGTGGTAGAATTTTTGTGTGTTTTTTTAATTAATTTTTTTTGATCAACTTAACACATGCAAGAGGCATCTGGGAAGAAGTGACTTCAACTAAAGAAATTACCTCCATCAGACTGGCCTGTGAGCATGTCTTGATTAATTTTTAATGTGAAGGGCCCAGCCTACCTGGTGAGCAATTCCATCCTTGGTGGTCCTGGATGTGTGTGTGTGTGTGTGTGTGTGTGTGTGTGTGTGTGTGTGTGTGTGTGGTGTGTGTGTGTGTTTGTAAAGTAAAGCAGGCTGAGCATACTTGGAGACCAAGCTGAATAGAAGCATTCCTTCATGGATTTTGCCTCAGTTCCTGCCATGAGTTCCTGCCCTGGCTTCTGTCAGTGATGAATTAATGATGAAAAATGTAAGGCAAATACACCCTTTCCTCCCCAAGTTACTTTTGGTCATGGTCTTTGTCCCAGTAATAGAACCCTAACTAGGACAGCTGTGTTTCACATGGGTTCTGTGCAGCTGCTGGGGACTCTGGAGTATTGACAATAACCCTGAGATGTCACCATAGTACTAATCCAAAAGCATGGTATAACCATGCAGAGATAAGACCATGCAGCCCTGAGCAAGCTTCCTGTGGAAATAAAGAATCAGAAGGGACTGGCCCAGAGCGTGACTACTCCAGCCATGGGTCCGAAAGACACTGCAGGCCCTTCCACTCTTATTTAGCACTGTGATCCCAAGTCAAAACACGAACAATGTGCCTAATTTGTCATATTATTCACCAATGTAGGGGCTGTGGTTAGCGTTGATTAGAAATCCTAGACTCAGCATGCTCCCTTTGACTGGGGAAGGTATGTGGGGAGAAATGAGAGTGTGAAAGAAGCTCATATTAAAACAAAGCAAGCCTTTCCAGTGTGCCTGTGGTATGGTACCCAGACATCAGGATGCTGTTCACAGGGCCTGGCCAGAGCTCAGCTGGAGAACCCAGATGCCAGAATAGACCTGAAGCCAGACAACATACAATTCTAGCATCAGAGAAGCAATGGCAGAAGGATCCCCAGGCTTAGTGTGCAGCCCAACCTCCTTGGTGAGTTCTGGGCCACCAAGAATCCTTGTCTCAAAAGCAAGGCTGAGCTGGGAGACAGTTCAGTAGACAAGGAGCTTGCCACACAAGCTTAAAGACTAGAGTTCAGATCATGAATACACTTGCAAAAGCTGGGTAGATTTGGTGCCTGCCTGTGGTCCTGGCACTTGGGAGGTGGATCAAGGGGATCAGGAGTTCAAGGTCATTTTCTGCTATCTAGTGACTTCAAAATCAGCCTGGGATACATAAGACTTTATCCAGATAGGAAGGGAGGGAGAGGGTAAGAAATGAACTAATGAACTCAACTAAGTTGAGTAGACAGTGAGCGCCTTTGGATCCTAGCAGTTCAGGCAAAGATCAGTAGGTGTCTTGCATGAGGCATGGAGAGATGCCTCAGCTGGTGAAGTGCTTGCTGCACTCAAAGCATAAGGACCAAAGTTCGGATCCCCAAACACACACAAAGCCAGCTGGTGTGGGTGTGGCAGCCCCCTTGGAGTCCCAGCACTCTCGAAGCAGAGACAGGGTTCCTCAGAGTAAGATGGCGAACCTGATGAGCCCAAACGCGAGCTGAGTTCAGGGAGAGTCTGCCTCAACAGGCCAAGTAGAACATGATAGAGGAAGACAATCAATGTCTTCCTTGGACCTCTGCATGCATGTGCACATGGATGTGTCACACATGTATAGATATGCATAAACATATGCACACAGACACCACATGTACACATACAAAAACCAAACAGAAAAATGTCTTGCAAACTGGCGTGCCATCTCCCAGTCACAAGGCAACTTCCCTCGAACATGTTTACCTTTCCTACACCGCAGACTGCACTGCAGACCTGGCACCCACCCGTCTTGCCTGATGATAGCTGCCACCTGGCTGCACCCTGAATTTAGCTGAGTGCTTGGTAGATCCTCAGGTCTTGCAGCTAAAGAGATCTTCAGAGACGGGAAGGGAGATGTGTTCAGGGACAGCTGTGAGGACTGGGCAGTGTCAGGCTAGAGTCCCCTTTGCTTCTGACACTTTCTCACCCCCTCCCCCCTCCTGGGCCAATGCAGGAGTCACCGAAGCCACCAAGCATTGCAGCAGGCTTCCTGAGTGATGGCGGCATGAGCAAAGACACCAGTCTGTCATCTACAAAGCTCACACTGGAGAACCACACGATCAATCACACACAAAATAAAATAATAAACAAATCACAAAAACACACCCCAAAAAGTTTTAAGTAAGTTCATGGTCTTGCTTTGGTTTGCATTCACAGCCATCCTACAGGCTGCAGTTGGGAATCCCTGGATGGATTTCTGACTGGATGACAAGGTCTCTCTGTAATCTGTCCCCTTTTCTGAAGGGTCTGGCATGCAGCAGGTAGACAGGTGAAAAAGACCTGCCAGTATTTCTGTCTGTCTGTCTATCCTACCACCTGTCCATCCATCCATCCATCAATCTGTCTAGAGGTTTGGGCATCTGGAGGTTGAATAACACAGTAACATCACACCCTCAGATACTGAGGGCACCCAACGCCCAGTTTTTTAAAGGGTTTGTGTCAAAGCCATGGCTATTGATTTTAACAGGAAGTCAGAAAACAAAGGAGGGAAAAAAATCATTTTAAAAAGCAAAAATAAGAATCCCAGCAGGAACCCAGGGCTAAGAGGTGTGAGAAAACTTATTGGGAGTCGCTGACTATTATTTCATAGAAATAATAAATGAATGAAAGGAATGCTTTGAAACATCTCGACATCAAGAGTAACTGTGCCTATAATCTTGGCTGAGGCAGGATTCTAAATTTGCAACCCAACTTGGGTTGTACAAAGTGAATTACAGGCTAACTTGAGCAGCATAGTGACTGTCTAAAAATAAGCAAATAAATATACAGATAAATTAATTCATTAATTAAAATATCTTGGTAGCATATTTGGCTAAACTCAGTATTTATCCACAGTTCCACAGAACAATATTTTTGACCAGCTAGCCCAGCCTAATCATGTCCCAAGTAAGAGACCCTGCTTCTAAAAGCAAGGTGGACAGCTGCTGAGGAATGATGTTCAAGGTTGGCTTCTGCCCATCATATACATAAGTGCCAGCGTACGCGCGCGCATGCATGTGCGCACGTGTATACACACACACACACACACACACACACTGTGCACATACTCACCTGTCTAGGTCAACACAGAAAAATAAATTTTTAATAATATAATAATAATAATAATTTGCACTTCTAACAAATCCCCAGTTGTTGCTGCTACCCTGAGAATGGCCCTGAAGAACCACTGCTCTGCGAGAAGGAAACGGCTCATCAACGCCAGGTACCAAGATGAACCGTGGGGCGTCAAACTTGAGAAGGGCCAGAAGGGACTCCACTGCTTGCTGAGTACCTCTGACCGACAGGGGAGTGGACACATCCCCTCCCAGCATCCCAGCATGCTCCAGTGCTCTGCACCGCAGGCTCCCCTGGAGGACCGCACCACACCGGGCGGACACGCCTCCCACCTTCTGAAAAGATGATGTGGTCATTGCACTCCTCCATGCTGCAGGCACACATGAAGAACGTTTCGCCGGCCCTCTTCTTTTCCTTCATGATGCACTTGGGAGAGGTGGCGTCTTCCACCGGAAAGCCATGGTAGGTGAGCTGGGGGTCGTGGCAAACGGTCTCCAGGGTGATGTTCTCATCATTCTTCCTCCTGGGGTGCAGAGGTTCGGTGAGAGGAAGAGGAAGATAGAAAAGGGGGTGGGGGATGAATGAAGAGTCTCCGCATAGAACAATCAAGCCTGCACTTTCCCCAGGAAGTAGTTCCCACTAACGGCAGTCACTTCCTGTTCTCCAACATCCTCACGCTGCCCCTTACTCTCCTGCATCAACTGTGTTTATCCCTCCCTGCATCTTTGGCGCATCTCAGAGTCTCCTTGGGGGATCTCTACCGGAGAACTCAGGCATCAGCCTTACCGGAATCTTCACACAGAAAAAGTGTGGGAAAGAGGGCTGCTAGGAACCTGGGTCCTTTTAGATCTCCCCTCCTGGGGCTCTACAGGCTCACATTGTGCCGCTAGCTTATGTGGCAGAGTTGGTGTCCTCTAACCAGGAGTGTTTAAAGAGGAGCATGAGGGTAAACTAAACCTCTTTCTTTTTATCTTAGGTGTGCATGTGTGTGCGCGTTTATGTGTACCTGTGCACATGTGCGTGTTGGGGTCAGAGGTCAACCCCCAGTGCTGTTCCTCGGGAGATGGTTACCTTGATTATTAAGACAGAATCTCTCTCTGGCCGGCAACTGGCCTATTCTGCCAGGCTGGCTGGCCAGCAAGCCCTAGCATGCTCTTGTCTCTGCCTCCAGAGTAACAGGATTATAAGTGCATGCCACCACATCTGGCTGTGTCTGGGGATCCAACTTAGGTCCTCATGCTTGTATATTAAGCACTTCACAGACTAAGCCATTTCTAAAGCCCATGATCTGTTTTTCCTGCCCGCCGGCCACAAGTCACTCTGTGTGTGTGTGTGCCGGGGGGTGGTGGGGGTGGTTACACATAATGCCAACCGCTGAGAAAGGGGTTGAGGAGAAAACAAATAATGAAAGCAATAGACAGAATGGCAGGGTGGTCTACCTTTCCAGGGCAGAAAAATAAGAATAGTTTATGCCATAGGAAATGGATTATCTCTTTGTCATCCACATGCTTGGAGACTAACTTTGCCTAGAGATCAAAGGATAAATGGCATGGTATATATTTTGGGAAATGCCTTAAATGTACATTGTATTTGTTTAATTTTATGCGGGTGTCTGTGTGTGCACCATGTGCCTGCTTAGAGCTGGAAGATGCCAGACAAGGGCATGGGATCCCTTAGAACTGGAATTACAGAAGGTTATGAGCCTCCATGTGGGTACTGAGGAGTGAACTGAACTACCTGTGTGTGGGGGGGATAGGTGTTCAAATGTATGAATGAGCTGCCAGGGTATGTGTTGGGGGGGGGGCGTACATTTCACATTCAAATCATAACAAGAAGTACTCTGGCAATCAGATTTAATAACTGATGGAGGCAGGAAATGAACATTGGTATCTGTATTTGAGGGACACAGTGACTCTTGCCATGAGCATGCACGGCTTACAAAGATGGAAAACAAAGAGTTATGATTCGAACGTGAAATATATGAACACTTGATTTCCAGCTGGTTCACGCCCTGCTCCCTAAACGCTGACACCACGTGACTGCCATGCCCTGTCTTCTCTGCCGTGACGGATTAGCTCCCCCTAGAACGAACTGTTTGCCAGAACAAGCCTTTCTTCCTGAAGCTGCTTGGACAGGTGCTTTGTCACAGCATCATGGAGAGTAATACAAAAAAGCAAGACTACCCCCCTTTCTCCAAGGCCCCCTTACCACACAGCCACGCAGACTTCGTGCGGCTTCTCACAGATGGCCGTGATGCTACAGTTGCTCATGCAGGACTTCTGGTTGTCACAAGTAGACGATCTCACATCACAAAACTTACACAGTTGTGGAAGCTTGACTGCACCGCTGTTGTGGCTGCTCATTATGTCACTGTTAACTGAGGTGAGAGAGAAGGAGCAGAGGTTATCCCTCTCCACACAAGCCCGATGGCCCGAGTTAGATCCCAGAGTCCCGCGCAAAGAAGAGAAGAAAGTCCTGACTTTCACATTACCTCCACATTAATGACAAGGCGTGTGTGTGTGTGTGTGTGTGTGTGTGTGTGTGTGTGTGTGTGTGTGTACCCTCCACAATAGCTAAGTAAAAGAAAGAACATGGAGAACGCTAATAATAATTAAAAAGAGGGAAATCCCATATCAGAGTAGAATTCCAAGGTTCATGCAAGGGGTGACGTGTGTTGCATGGGGTTGGTGATGGGGCTGCACAGTAGCTTCTGGGCTTTGCCCATGATGGGCATGAAGCGTGCTTTCCACCAAAAACCTGCATCATTGAAGACGCAGATTGGCCCACTGCTCTGGCTGTTCCTAGTTCTTCTAAAGGAAGTTTGATTTACTGGGGCTGGATATGTTACTCAGTTCCTAGAGTATCTGCCCAACTATCAGGAAACTTGGACATTGTGTAAGCTCCGCATGGTCATGCACACCTGTGACCCAAGCACTTAGGAAGTAGAGGACGGGAGCTCAAGAGTTCGAGGTTATCCTCTGCCTTTTAGTGAGGTTGAAGACAGTCTAAAATAACCGAATAACTAAGAATATCTAAATAAATCAATCAATAAAAGCTACCAGGGCAAGGGGAACAAAATGGGTAAGGAGAACAGAATGCGGGTGGGCACATAGGACGGAGGCACCCGAAAAGAGAGAGCCACCACCCAAGTGGGCAGGGAGGCCACTACCACAGCGGAACAACGTGGTGGCACAGACACTAAGGACTGGACTGATGTGTCCTATCCTGCCCCGTCCTCCAAAGGTGAGCAACGGAGGGTGGGCGAGCTGTGGTGACTAAGTGTGGGGTCTGTGGTCAGAGAGGGGGCAGGCCACTAGCAGGCCCCTGGGCTGGAGCCGGTGGAGCAGGGGCAGAGGGCAGGCGCCAGCCCTGGTGCCCGGGCCCTGATGGTTCTCTCAGGGCTAGGAACAAGATGGCTGTCTTGTGTCTTTCCCAGATTCTCAGTCCCCAGACTTAGCCCACTCCCTCTTGTATCCCACGATTGCCTTCTGCCCCTTCTCCACTGCCTCTGTGTGGAAAAGCAATGACATCTCAAGGCTCGACACCTCTCTGAGCACTTCCCCTCACACTGCCGCTCTGTCACCCCTTACTCCTCATATTGGAGGGTACGGCAGCCTCTAGGAACACATTAGTTCAATTATTGTCTATTTCTATCCCCTTTGTCTCCGATTAAATGATACCCTTCATCCTAAAGTGACAAGGTAGTCACTACCACAGGATCCTGTCTTATAGTTGGTCAGATTACTGGCTCACATACTTCCCTATAACCTACCCACCAACATGAAGTCCAAGGGCCTCAGTCTGCCTTGATAAACACTGGTGTGGTGTGAGCATCTGTCATCTCCACAGCATCCTTCTCTTATTATAGCCAAATAAATACCTGGCAAATAGCAACTTAAAGAAGGAAGGGTTTGTTCGGCTCATAGTTTTAGGGGACAGTCCACCATGGCGAGGAAGGCGTGGCAGCAGTCCTGGAAGGCAGCCGCTGACGTTTGTATGCAGTCAGAGAGTGGAGAGGAATGGAGCTTGTTAAAGACATGGTTTAGAGTTGATGGGCAAAGCTGTCATGAACTCCACCAAACAGACGGGAATCAATTTGTGTTCTCTGCTGCACAAAGATTCTACACGCTCGCGGGCTGCCAGTGGCCGTAGGACACATGCTGGCCCTGAGGCAACTGGGAGGGACTTCTCCAAGAGGTCCCCTGGGAGAGGCCTGAGAAGGCCACATGTCTGTGCTGGGTTATCCTGCCCTGAGGGTATCAGACTCAGTTCCTCCCGTCACTCTCCTGGACAAGAATTTTAGATTCCTGTCCTCGGTGTCTAACCCTGTGACCTCCTTTGTTGCTTGGGCACAACACCTGCTTCCTGGGTCTCTAAAAATACAAGCTTATATATTTAAGATCTGCTTTCTTGTGGCGATGGTAAACATAGAAGGGGGAAAAAAAAAGCCAAGCCATTCATCCCTTTCAGGCCTCTAGTTCATTTCAGGAAGTATATTTTTAGGTAAGAAACTATTTTGAAATCCTCAATGTCTCCCAGACTGTTCTGTTTAGCTAAAAATACTGGCATCCGGGGGCCTTGAGCCTTGTTTAAATTTGGTGCCAACGCACAATGGATATACTTTGTTTCAGCGATGGTTATGTTTGGATCCACTTGTGAAACAATTCATTCACTATAAGATAATAAAAGAAAGAAATACAGGGTTGTTTTTGTTTGTTTGTATGTTTTTTCTTGGTACTGGCTATGTTCTAAACATTATCTGCTGGCGAAGGAGCTGTGGTGGTCTCTGCAACATAAAATCAAATCTTTAGGAGATGGAATTTAGCCGAGAGTTTGAAGATCTTAGGGTGGCTATCAGCTTCACCTTTGTAGACAGGACAGTATCAACGTGTGAGTGGCTGGAGAAACAGCAAAGCCTTGGGTGACTTTCAGATGCCCTGATTGAACGGTTCTTAAGGGTAGCCTGGGCTTTGGGTTTGGTGGGGTTTGTTTGTTTGTTTGTTGAAGATGTATTTTATTTATGTGTTAACTGTGGTGTTCAATGATAATGGACCTCGTAGGCTCATACATTTGAATACTTGGTCCCAGGTTGGTGCACCTGGGAAGGATTAGGGGGTTCAGCTCAGTCTGGAGGGACTGGGGGCGGTGGAGCTTTAAAGAGACTCTCACCATCCCCAGAGTGGTTGTCTCTGCCTCCCAGTTGTGGATCAAGATGTGAGATCTCAGCTGTCCCTGCCGCCAGGCCTTTGCTCCATCATCATGGACTCTGACCCTCTAAAACCACAAGCCCGATTAAACTCTTTCTTTTATACATTGCTGTGGTCATGGTGTTTTGTCACAGCAACAGAAAAGTCTCTATGCTCATGTGGCTGTGGGTACACTTGGAAGCCAGAAGAGTGAGTTGGAGCCCCTCTGGAGATGGATTTACAGGTGGCTGTGAGATCCCAGGTATGAGCTCTGAGAATCAAACTATGCACTCTCAAACACTAAGCCATATCTTCAGCCCCAGGGCTTGGGAATTTTTGAAGCTTTGCAGATGATTCTGGTGTCCAGTGGAGACTGAGCTCCCTGAGCTAGAATTAATTGGGGTGGGGGAGTGCACAGCGAGTGTGAAACAAAGGGGCCGAGTCTGTGACTCAGCTGGTAGCAGGCACAAGTTCTGGCCCCTCCCTCTCTCCCCCAAAACACATAAACACAACAAACTGGCATATGCCCACCATCCCAACATCCTGGAGGTAGAGGCAAGAGGGTCAGAAGTTCAAGATCACCCTTGGTTACACAGGGAGATAAGACCATCACGGGCTACACGAGACCCTATCTCAAAACCAAACCAAAAACAAAACCTACAAACAATTACACAGTGTGTGTGATGCCAAAGGAAGGCTTCCCCAAGTGCTGGGTGGGAAGGGAGCCCCTGGGAAGCAAGCCTGCAAAGACAGGGTCAGCTCCCGACCATCTCCTCCCTAGGTGTAGGCTAGCCAAAGCCTAGACGTGGGAGAGACGTGACTAAAGTCAGCAGTGACGAAGTTGCAAGAAAAGCAGATGGGATGGAAGACAGCCACCAAACAGACAGCCGTGTTGACAAGGGTAAGTGCCTGGGTCTGGTGCCTGGAAAATATACCTAACAGGAAAGAAACAGGAAGAGACAAAGGGAAGACAGAAGAGAGGGAAAGAGGAAAGGAAAATGGGAAGGGAAGGGGAAAGAATGAAAGAGAGAGGAGGGCAGGGGAGGGGAGGGAGGGGAGGGGAGGAAGGGGAAAGGAGGGCAGGGGGAGGGGAGGGAGAGGAGGGGAGGGAGGGCAGGGGAGAGGAGGGCAGGGGAGAGGAGGGCAGGGGAGAGGAGGGAGAGGAGGGCAGGGGAGGGGAGAGGAGGGGAGGGGAGTGGAGAGGAGGGGAGGGAAGGGGAGAGGAGGGCAGGGAAGGGGAGGGCAGGGGAGGGGAGGGCAGGGGAAGGGAGGGAGGGGAGAGGAGGGGAGGGGAGGGGCGCTAGGACAGCAATGCACGCCACTCTTGATGCTGCCTGCAGCAGGCTGAGGTGACAAGGATCCAAACATGCAGAGATGCAGCATGCACGCTGCTCTCCAAAGAGGCCCAAGGCAAAGTCTTTCTGTTGAATTCTGAGGAGGGGGAGGCAAAGGGCACCCCATACCTCACATTTGGAAGCAGGGGCATTTGGAGGAGGAGGGCAGTGGGTGAGGGGAATGTGTGTCTGCTCAGGGTGCTGTGTGCATTATCATTGCAGCAAAGCAAAAGCTACCATTGTTAAGGTTTGCCCAGGATATTTTCTTTCCTCTTCCTTCTCTTGTACTAGCTCCTGGACTTCCTTTTTGTGAGCTTTACGTGAGGCATATCTTCTACAATACATCTCCACCCAGTCACCCTACTATAGCTGATAGAGGACGCGGCCCCTTTAACAATTCCATCACCCTCCCCACACACCAGAAGCCTATAAACCATCAACCTTGTCTTTAGGCCGACACCCTCCTCGCTCTATGTGACAGCCCCCTCTGTATGGTGAGACAGATATGTTCAGACTACAACACTGTTCACCATCTGTGTTGGCCTCAAGTCCATGAAGTCACTGTGCGATAAGGAGCAGGGCTCCAAGAGCTTCACAGATGCCCTGGAAGCCTGGAAGCCACAAGAGAATAATCCCAAGCCTCCCTCTGTGTCCTCAAGAATCCCCCAAAGCCTGGTAAGCTCATGAGGATGGGTTCAGGGAGGCAGCCATACTGCCCATCCTGGTCCAAAGGAAGAAAGCACACCAGCTATGCTGTTCAGGGTCAAGCAGGAACTCCTTATGCTTAATCTGTGATGAGTCAGGGGCCAAACTGATGGCAATGCAAGGTAATGCATCTAGATAAACAGCTGAGAACA